TGAGGGAGCGAGAGATAGTCAGTCGATCGCAGTTGTTTTGATCTCGCACTTTCTCGTCTGGTCTCGCCGAAGAGCGCCATCTATTGCCGGATATAGTAAAATACGATGCGCAAGGAAAAGTCGAAATACATGGCGCAATTCTAAAGAAATGTAGATCATGTAACAAATAAATGATATAAATAATGATGATAATAATAATTAGAATTATTAAGCAATTGTTGTGCTACAATCAGATAATGTAATGTAGTGTGTAGTGTTGTAGACGACAACATTCAAAAGAGATTTCACCATTGTAACTAACAAACATTTAGCCAATAATTTAATCAGGAGTAGATAATAGAAGATCTACTCTATCTTCTATTATCTACTCATGATTTAATTAACCTGTTAGGACAACACCATAGTATGCCCAGAGCACTTAAATCATATGATTTAAGTGCTCTGGTATGCCTGTACAACTGACTGAGAAAATGCAAACAATGAAGTACACGTAAAAACAACAAATTTTATTTCACATTACACCAGGCGGCCCACACACATATCGCGATTTCACGACATTCAGAAAAAATGCAAACTTCGAAACGAACACGCGAAATTACAGGGAGTGAACGCGACTCTAGCGTAGTAACGGACATTAAATCTGCTTTGTGTGAAAACTAAAACAGTGAAGAAATTTACACCTCATGGGTAAAAGGAAAACGCGGAGAATATGTGACAGGTGGCGCCCTCGCGCTTGACCCAACCCGACCGTGCTGCCATGCACCTGGCGCCTCTCTCACACTGCGCCATCCATCAATAATTCTAGCGATATTTCCAGTGCTTGCAATCTTTCGTGCGGTGGCGCCCGCCCCCTCTAGTTCTACTTGTCATCTGTCAGCGGTTGCGCCACCTGCAGTCCTCTTCCAGCGCCCTCCATCAAGCAGTGGCGCCCCCTATAGTCCTGTTTGTCGTCGTCGCGTAGAGTGAGAGTAGTGGTAGGTGGCGCCCTCTCTAGTCCTGTTTGTCGTCGTCGCGTAGAGCGCGCGTAGTGGTTGGTGGCGCCCCCTCTAGTCCTGTTTGTCGTCGTCGCGTAGAGCGCGGAGTCTCTCCAGCAGCGGTGGATGGGAGTAGTGGTAGGTGGAGAACAATGGGTCGCAGAGCGGGAACGACAGATTGTCCGCGTTCAGCTTGCAGAGGGCGCCACGCAGCGCGGTGGCGCGGCGCAGCGAGCGAGCGAACGCGTCTGCCTGGAACTCGAAGCGACGGCTCAGCGCCGTCATGGCAAACGAGACGAGCTGAAAAACAAGAGAACGAGTGTAAGCGTGCTGCGTGCGAGAGAAAAACAACAAGAGAACGTGTGTAAACATGTGCTGCGTGCGAGAGAAAAACAACAAGAGAACGTGTGTAAACATGTGCTGCGCGCGAGAGACAGAGACAACAAGAGAACGTGCATGAGCGTGTGCACGTAAATATGTAGTTGATGAACACTGAAATATCGACTAGAATATTTAGGTGCAGCAATTAAAACTGGAATCGATAAAAAAAACTTCGGATTTACAGACCGGAGCAGCAAGCACGGATGCGTTCAACACCGCTAATTATCGGTCGATCGTTAGCGACGGTTGCCGACGGTTACCTCGTTGTAAGGCGAGAAGACGAACTGGAAGATGATGATGAGACCGATGAGGACGGGGTGCGGCGGGGCGGCCGGGAAGCCAAACGCAGCGTAGAGCTCCTGTCTGCTGATGAGCATCGCGAAGAGGCAGAGACACAGAAACAGGTTCACCTGTTAACGAACAACGCACACCTGTCATTAGCATCTGTAGCAAATACGCACCTGTTGTAATAGCACCTGTGGTCCCATAACTCCAACCCTAATGCCAACACTAACCCTGTCTATCTCTAACCCTGACTGTAACGAAAACACTAACCCTATCTCTATCTCTATCTCTATCTCTGACCCAATCTCTATCTATAACTCTATCCCTATCTCTATCTATAACTCTAACCCTATCTGTATCTATAACTCTATACCTATCTCTATCTATACCCCTAACTCTATCTCTATCTCTGACCCAATCTCTATCTATAACTCTATATAATCCCTATCTCTATCTATATCTATACCCCTATCTCTATCTATAACTCTAACCCTATCTCTATCTCTATCTCTATCTCTATCTATACCCCTATCTATATCTATACCCCTATCTCTATCTCTATCTATAACCCATTCTCTATCTATATCTATACCCCTATCTCTATCTCTATCTATAACCCATTCTCTATCTATATCTATACCCCTATCCCTATCTATCGCCGCGGCAACGCTCACTGTTTCGGCACGAGTTCGAATCGCATCTTCTGCAGGTTGGCGTCGTCGTTGAGCGTCGCCATGGCGACCGGGTGCGACGTCGCATAGTCGAAGTTGAACGGCACGCCCCCTGGCGGGTTCCGCAGGAAGTTGCGCTTGTCCTGCGACGAAGAGGAGCGAGAGAGAGAAGACGATTGAGACGGGTCGTGACACGATGAGACGAAGCGAGACGCTGGATGTGAGATGATGTTGATACGAGACAGGATGATATTCATATATGACGACAGGGTGCGAAATTAACGCGAGTCCGGAGTCAAATACTCCCCGATTTACTGCCGGACTCCCTGATTTGACATACGCAGGAGTCCGTGTGACTCGCTGAAAATTCTGCCATACTAACTAGTTTGTTCCAGAGCATGGCCTTGCGGAATTACCGTATTTTTTCAGCAAATGTCCAAAGAAAATTTGGCAGACGTGCAACCGCATGAATCTTCAAAATAAGCACATGTATGCGTTATTGTTAATATCTTTAATTTTGAACTTCAGACTGCGGACTCCCTCACTTGGCTGCGGACTCTCTCTTTTTGAGGGTAGACTCCCTTGTTCAAAAGTGACGATATTATATATGACCCCCACGTGAGACCATGAGGACGACATCTGAAACCGCGACGACCTTGACCTTGACCACACAAGACAAGGACATTGTTCTGTGACGAGAACAATACCTGAGACCATGAGGGCGATACTTGAGACGAGCGAGGTCAGGTGAGACCACGACCCCATCTGAAATCACGACCCCATACGAGACAACCCCCCCTCCCCTACACGAGACCAGTGTGTTACTAGCCAGAGACCCATCTACCCAGCTTTTGGACGGCCTATTCTTAGACGTGACGGATGAAATTTGACAGAGACGGCATGAGAGCGACCCCATTTTATATATTATACACCTTGTATAACAGACAACAATGCCTATAAGAATATAAAATCATATCAGCTTCCTGTCTTTTTGGCATGTCAGACTAAATTTCCTCCATGGTAAGGCTCTCCCCCCTCGCTTCGCTCAGATGGTGAGACTCCCTGATTTTTTTCCTGGCTAACACCCCACATGAGACCACGACCCCCACATCGAAGACCACAATACCTGAGACAGAGCAAGGATCTGTTTCTTTAGCTGTTCCTCGTCGTTGTAGCCGACCCAGGGTGGCACCGCCACCGCCTCCCCGGCCTGCCTGCCCTGCTTCCCCTCGCAGAAGCGCGTCTGCTCCCGGTTAAAGTCTGCCAGCATCGACTGTGTGAGAGACAGAGATGTTAGAGAAGGGGAGAGGGGGAGAGGGGGAAGGGGG